CTTAGACACAAATGCCGATAATTGTTTGAGATGTGATTATGAAAAAAGGCATGGCGCCAACACAGTTATCAAAAGTCTCTATTCTACAAACTGTTCAATGCTGAGGTCAGGTAGCAAAACTAAATTTCTCTACTTAAGTGTTAATCTGAAGAGACTACACCTTCGCAACTATTATCATTGAAAACTGGGTTCAAAGTAGGTTTCATCGTAAACCATCAACGTCCTTTCTTAACCATTCATACAGCCTGTTCAAAACCTTTAAGTCTCATTCGTAACCAGCCTTAGACACATTATTATCAAATTCTGTAGTAAACCATAAGTACCTCAACGGTCTACACATCAAAATCATAGGCAGATAAGTTTCCACACAGATATCTGTTGATACTCCCACTTAGACTAATAACACTGACTCCACCGACAAAGTTACTGTGCGCGCTAACGACTGATAGACTCAAACAGTATTCACGCAATTCATTATTCAGAACACCAGAAAAATCACCCAAACATCTTGTTATTTGTATCGTTATTCGAAGTCAAGAACTCACGTGACAAAACATAAAATGCTAGACTACAACAAGTCAGAAATAATAAACATACAAAGGTATACACATAGGAAATTTGTAACAAATAACAGATTTATGGTTAATTGACTGAAACTTATTGAGGTGAAAAATATTACAACGGTTAGTAGGAGTTAGTAAAAGCCTACAACTGGGATAATATGAAAATACCATAAATCAACATTTTAACACTTACAAATAAGGGATAATCAAACTGATTCCCACAAAATTCACTTCACGTGTTTTGTAATCTCCTTCATACGTTTCACCATAATAATAATATCATGTACAGACAATCAATACCATTACTTATATTCATTCATCACTCTCAATAGCCAATTCTATAGTATAGCTCTGTCTCTGTTACTAGAAGATCTTCAATATGACAATTTTATTCACGAACGACAATCAACTGGAATACAAGAGATTGTCTGACAACGGCGTCACCCACATCCGAAACATTTTCGCAGTGTATATTAATGAATACACAAAGATTATGAATCAATGAATTAGAAGAATGGTAACTACGGTGAAACTTGGTGAGGTGTTTGAAACTAGGACAAATTAACTTTCCAATACCTCATTAAACCTTTCGAACTAAAAATCATAAATACGAGAAATCGACGGCACCGATACAGTTCATCGGCAAAATAGTCTATGATAGACAAGGTTTATATATCCCTCAGCTAAAGAAGTCGTTCAGTATTTACCGTTAGCTATATCAAAAACTTTCACCATAATCCTTCTGAATGAAGATCCTCCAATTCACAGGGAAGATCTTAAATGGCTTAAGTTGTTTATTCTGGTGAGTGTGTTTTTAGCAAGGTTGTTTTCTATGGAATGGGGTTGCTGACTCAATGTCCAACCTCTCTCCTTCATCCAGACTTGGGACTGGCATAACTCTAGGACAGCTACAGGCAAAATTGTCTGGATTGTCATCTTGGTTTAATTGGTGACTGTCATTTATTTCCTGGGACATATGAATTTAATCAAGTTCACATTGAGATGAAAAATCAATGGTAGCAGTAGATGAGGATTGTGGTTTATAAGAAATGGATTAAAGTGGTCTGATATTATGGTGTCCATTTTCAGACCTAAGGATCTTGGATCTCATACTAAAAGGATTATATAGAACCCTATAAGAAGCACAATGAAAGCATGAATGAATTATATACCATCTAGCGAGATATGCTTCAGTAAATGTCACATGTACGATATGCACCAGTAAATTTGCTTGAAATCGCTTTAGTTAGTACCTATAAACAACTTAATTTCCGTAACCAATTCATCTGAACGGTTAGCAGACAATCTTGGTTTTCTAGACGCAATACTGACCAAAAACAGATCGGTGTTTAGTCCGCACTAGAGAAACGAGTAGGACTTAAAGCAGTACGCCTACCCAACCTACCCACGTTTTTATGACAAGTAACTAATTAGAATCTTCAGGGATACATACCTTACGTATATCCCTACTAATTATTCCGTTATTCGTACGGACGATTGCTTTCCTAATCTTTCCGTCGTCACCTGTTTCACAGCCTCCAACTATTCCTAACGATCACTTTCCACGGGTCGAAATGTTCAAAGCCACAATTACTACGTCTGTCTTCTCGGCTATAAAAGTAGTCTATCCGTCGTTGAATCAATTCCAGCTCAACAACCAGAATTACATAAGAAATGGAACGCCATTCTCACAAGATTAAGGACATCTAGAAACTTTAAGTCGTGACTTGAAAACGACCTTACACTACAATGCAACAGCCGTTGAATGATTTTGCGTAGTATGGTCACTTTGCAAAATCTTTAGATGCCTTGACGAAAATATGTTTCAGACTTCGTACCCTGCTCACCTGACACTTCACATAAAATACTGAATTCAAGCAGCTAATCCATGTCTTTTTAAAGATACTGACAATGACGAGCATGTCTGACGAGTAAGTAATAACACAGTGAAAGTCCTGATCAGTTTCTTGCATGATAAGGAATTACAACACTTAAATTCTCTACCTTATAATCAAATTTGAGGCCAGTTTACATTGGAATTTCGTATCCTTAACGATCAGTTATGTGCTGAAATGTCTACCTTCTTGTTAGCTTTAAGGATAAACATCACTGATACCTTCACAAAAAGAAAAAAAGACACACAATCAAACACATAAAAGATAGGACTCTATTTTCTCACAGTAGTCATCGTCAAAATGCTCTGTCTGGACAAGTCATAGCAGTTTCATCAGTGAACCGTTTGGGAAGAAACTAAAACCTAACAGAAATATTTACTGTAAGAATCACTACAGCCATATCAACCTTCAACCTATAATACGTACGACTGAAAACTGATGTTCAAATCAACTGACAACATTAAATTCATGTTCTAAAAGCACGGTCTGAGTAAAGAGGAACTGTAAATGCTTCCAAGTTACCTCCTGATATTCTTTGTAATATTACAACGTCAAATAAAAGTGTCGTCTCAGTTCCTTGATAACACACTATACTCAGGTATAGTCGTAAAATAATAGGCCATTTCAATTACTTTAAGGGAAATAAATACCTTGCTCATGCACTGTGTATTCAATATTTTATAAACATGATGGTTAAACAATTAACATTTTCTCAGGTGATCACCACCAAAATGGATTCAACTGATAACTAACATTCTCTATAGTAGATGAATCTGCCCGTAGCTCTCCTAGAGTTATGCCAGTCCCAAGTCAGGATAAATGAAAAAAATTGGACATGGAGTCAACAACCCCATTCCATAGAAAACAACCTTGCTAAAAACACAGTAACCAGAATAAACAACTTAAGCCATTTAAGCTCTTCCCTGTGAGTTGGAGGATCTTCATTCAGAAGGATTATGACGCCTCATGGTGAAAGACGAGATTCTTCGGAAGTCACGAGGCCGATGCTCCTTCTAGCAACCACAGCAACAGCTAATGTCGGCACATGAAATGTCTGGACAATATGGGAGATCGATAGGACCAGTCAAATAGCTACGGAAATGAGGAGATACAACTTGGAGGTGCTCGGAATCAGTGAAACCCATTTGATCCAATCTGGACAGAAAATTTGAAGTTCGAGAGAGATGCTGTTGTACTCTGATCATGAAGAAGAAAATACTCCACACACTCAGAGAGTTACTCTGATGCTGTCCAAAGAAGCATGGAAAACACTTATAGGATGAGAATCTCATGGATCCAGAACCATCAAAGCATCCTTCAAAACAAAGAAGAACGACATCACAACGAATCCTATCCAATGTTATGCATCCACCAATTAGAGCAATGAAGACGGTAAATGCCAGTTTTACGAGAGGACACAATCGGTCATAGTGAAGTGTCCAGGAAAGGACCTGTCCATCCTGATGGGAGACCTAAACTCCGAGGTCGGAATGGACAACACCGGGTATGAAGGTATCATGGGAAGACACGGACTGGGAGAAAGGAATGACAATGGTGAGAGATTTGCAGATTTACGTGCACCCAACGAAATGGTTATGGGTGGCACTATATTCCCACCCCAACCACCCACAAACGCACACAGAAAGCTACATGAGTCTCACCGAATCACATTACAGAGAACCAGATCGATCATATCTGTATCACTAAAAAATCCAGGTCAGTGGAGAGACGTGAGGACCAAGAAAGGAGCTGGCATAGCAGCTTCAGATCACCACCTGGTGTTTGTCAAGATGAGACTGAAGCTAGACAAGCACTGGACAACTGGACGAACAGCATTACAAAGGTTCAATACAGCCTTCCTTCAATATATTGATAAACTCATCGAATTCAATATAACTCTCAACAACAGGTCCCAAGACTTACAGGATCTACTGAAAAAAGAAGAAACCACCACGGAGGACAACTGTAAAGGAGTCAAAGAGGGACTAACTTCAACGTGTCACTAGGTGCCGGGCCGCAAGAAGCATCATCGTAAGGAATGGATTCCTATGAGAATCCTGGACAAGACTCAAGAAAGGAAGAACAAGAAGACAGTTACTAATAACAGCCAAACAATAGCAGAAAAAGTCAAGAAACACGCCGAATACACAGAGGTAAACAAGAGAGTGAAGTGGAGCATTAGAGTCGACAAGCAGAAATACGTGGAAGAGCTACCAACGACAGCGGTAAAAGCTGGAAGAGAAGGGGAAACAAGTATATGATACGACGAAGAAACTGACACGGAGATATAACAAACCGGAATGATCAGTGAAGGACAAAGAAGGCAAGCCAATCACAGAAATTCAAGAACAGAGTAACAGGTGGGTAGAACACTTTTAAGAACTTTTGATTAGACCAGCCCCACTGAAGGGACACACACAGACCTTCCTATAGATGTCACTCAACCAATGATCGATAAATCAGCGTGGCCATCAGACAAATCAAGGCTGGAAAAGCAGCAGCACATGACAACATACCAACTGAAGTCAGACATTGAAGTAACTGCAAACATGCTTCACACACTATTCAAGAAGACATGGGATGAAGAGCAAGTCAGATATGCGGTCGCTATCTACAGTGAAGGACTGTGCAATGTCGCGAAAACGGTTGTATTAATGAAAGTCCCTTTATTTGCATTTGCTGTCCCACAAATCCCTAAACACGTATCCTCACTCAATACTATACAACGGGAGAGAACAAACTAACAAACAACTGAAACGGGAACTACAAAAAGACGCCGAAAGTGGATTGGGCATACAAAATCAAGTCGGATATGTGGTCGCTATCTACAGTAAAGTACTATGCAACGTCGCGAAAACGGTTGTATTAATGAAAGTCCCTTTATTTGCATTTGCTGTCCCACAAATCCCTAAACACGTATCCTCACTCAATACTATACAACTTCTTATGCCTACGTTGTCAAACACATTTAGTATTAAGGTCCAGACAGCCTGTTCTACAGTGTGATTAGGTCATGAATATATATACAAGCTCGAATATGCTTCGATCAAATCGCACTCCTACAAAGCACTACTTCGTACAACACAATAACCAACATCATAAGACGTTCGCAAAACAGGAATACATTTAGAACTAGAATCAAATTAAAATTTATTTTTTAAATTAACTTTAACAGAAATCATATGCCTCCACGCAGGCGTAAAACAAGATGTAAGGTTGACTCCTTCTGGATGTTGTAGTCAGACAGAGTACGTCCATCTTCCAACTGCTTACCAGCGAAGATCAAACGTTGTTGGTCAGGAGGAATACCTTCTTTGTCTTGGATCTTCGCTTTCACATTCTCAATAGTATCACTAGGCTCCACCTCCAACGTGATCGTCTTACCAGTCAACGTCTTCACAAATATTTGCATTCCACCACGTAGACGAAGGACAAGATGCAGAGTCGACTCTTTCTGGATGTTGTAGTCAGACAGAGTACGTCCATCTTCCAACTGCTTACCAGCGAAGATCAAACGTTGTTGGTCAGGAGGAATACCTTCTTTGTCTTGGATCTTCGCTTTCACATTCTCAATAGTATCACTAGGCTCCACCTCCAACGTGATCGTCTTCCCAGTCAACGTCTTCACAAATATTTGCATTCCACCACGTAGACGAAGGACAAGATGCAGAGTCGACTCTTTCTGGATGTTGTAGTCAGACAGAGTACGTCCATCTTCCAACTGCTTACCAGCGAAGATCAAACGTTGTTGGTCAGGAGGAATACCTTCTTTGTCTTGGATCTTCGCTTTCACATTCTCAATAGTATCACTAGGCTCCACCTCCAACGTGATCGTCTTACCAGTCAACGTCTTCACAAATATTTGCATTCCACCACGTAGACGAAGGACAAGATGCAGAGTCGACTCTTTCTGGATGTTGTAGTCAGACAGAGTACGTCCATCTTCCAACTGCTTACCAGCGAAGATCAAACGTTGTTGGTCAGGAGGAATACCTTCTTTGTCTTGGATCTTCGCTTTCACATTCTCAATAGTATCACTAGGCTCCACCTCCAACGTGATCGTCTTCCCTGTCAATGTCTTTACGAATATCTGCATTCTTCGAGTATTTTCGACCACAGCAATTAATTCTGTGCAAACAGCTGTTTCGTTTATGTACAGATTTCTGGAACTTCCGAAGTAGATGGTTAAAACAAGGGTATCTCTCAAGGAATTTATTAATCCATGCATCGGAGATTGGTGATAAAATGATTGGCATTTTCAATGAGACAGATTTAAAAATTAAATAACACATGATAATATCAATAAGAGAGACGTGGTCTCATTTCTCATTGCAATCGTGTAACTCAACCATTTATATCCTGACAGTCCAGAAGAAGAAAAATCACTCCTACCTATGGATAAACTGGGAGATCTGACATTTGTTGAGACGAAAGAAAAAGTTTTGAAGCGTTGTCATTAGCCTCGGCATAGCATAAACGATGGAGCGCTCCAGGTCTTTCCGAAATAAGTGTAAAAGTGCAACCCAGGTAGCATAGTAAACATGTGAAAATGAATTGGCACTATCTGAAACCAAGAAGATAAATAAACTTTTCTTGTTCATAAATTTCAGAACAACGATGCACCATTGGTTTTTCAATGCAATTACCTTATTGTGTGGAGGAAGGCCGGGACAAATCAGAAGCCATGGTACATTATTTCGGGACAGTTTTAACTCATATAGTCACATTTCAGTTGATTAATATACTTTTTCGAAATCTAGTCAGCTTAGATATCAGTAGTGTCGTTGATGAGCACAAGGCGGTCTACCATAACAGGATGTATTCTATGTTCTTGTTCCTTCAACCATGTTCTATAGGTATTCTTTCTAAGTATATTCTAACTCTAAAATTCAGACGGAAGTCGAACTGGGCAAGTGATTTTGAAACTGAGTTTATTTTCCTGAGAGTTCGCCGGCTTAAGACAAAGGTTATTTTACTACTTATGTCTTAGTTAGTTTTCATTCTTGTCTTATTATTAATTTAACCCCACCAAATGCACGATATTGTGAATCATACCGTTGTGACGACTTAACAACGTGCCTATGTGACGCTCTAACTAACAAAAGTAAACAAGTTATTGCGTTGTACATTTTGGTGCTTCCTGACAGTTTTAGTGCTTTTCCTTTGTCTACGCACTTTTCATGTATCTGTATATTGCTTATCTCAGAGCTTCTGAGCACACTCTCAAGTATGTTCTATTTAAGACGCTTGAGTCAACACTTCTCACCTCATTTTTTTTGGGCCAGTTATTATCAAAGCCTCTTTCTGATATCCAGCCATACTGGATTCCGTGGGCTCGGCGTTGCCGATTAACGTGTACAGTTAACAGAAGTAATCGAAGCTCTACCACCCAACTTGAATGTGTACGTCACACTTAACATGTTTTGTGGTAATGTTCTTGGAACACACGAACTGTTCAAAAAAGACTGTTCCGGAAAAAGGAAATATAGCTAATGGAAAAAGCTTAGACGGACTTTTTCACAATACTGAACTGATGTGCGGCTTGCCAACAGAAATGTTGACATGGCCGTGCAGTGAAAGCAGCCTCCCCAATGAGCTACAGAGGAAATAGTTTAAGATATAACACTTGCGTGAAGAACTTAAACAGCTTGAAATCTAGTGAATATCCCCATTTGAAATGCCTGAAGTCGTCAATCTGTCGAATCATTCTCGAAAATACGTCTTTTGACTTTAAACGTATTTTTGGGGCAAAAAGAAGCATCCAATGAGTTAACCTTGTTAGCAAATCGTTAACGCCTATTGTTGTACATCACAACGTAGTTATGACGTTCATGGTTTTCAATCGATCATTCTATTAGTCTTACATGATGGTGAATACATCATATAGTCTTTTAAAATATTTCATAACCATAGGTGTATTAAGACTTTCTCTTATTCCGTCCATTTAGATGTGTCTCTTGTAATAATATACAGAATATGATGCCAAAAATCCGGCAATCTTCCATGCTGAATAGGATAATGGGACGTATTTAACAAAGATTAGCAAATATCTGAGGTTCAAATTCTCTCAGAGTGTGAAGTGGATAATCTGTTAACTTGTGCATGATTTCATATGTCCAGCGTGCTGCATCGAAGCAGAGTGTTGAGAGAGCGATGTTCAGAAGACTGGAATTATATGAGGTTATATTTTTCAACGCAAGAACAAGCAGAATTATATCTAAAGTATCCAGAAGTATTGTGGGCTGATTCGATGTACAACACCAATAAAGCAATATAAGAAAGATCCATTATACATGTAAATGTGAATACTGATCTTTTTAACTGACTGGAGCTGGCTGTTATGAATGTGACCGTCCATTTATGCTTGTATGGTTAAAAAAACTATTACTCGTGAAATTTAGTTTTTAGACATGTTTTCTAATATATCTGGGGGTGCTTCCAGTACAAAAAGCTTTATGATGGATATTTCCTAGTGATGACTGTTTCTATAACACATACAATGTAGACACAATGCTTTGTTACCTGAAAACTGAAAATGAAGCTAAAAAAAGCTGTACACTGTTGGAAAAGCAACAAAATTGTTCAATATAGTCTTCCTTCAAAACTAACAAACTCGGAGAGTTCAAGATGGTTATCAACAACACGTTTCTACTCTTACGATATTTGCCAGAAGGGGAATACGCTATAGAGAACAACTGCAAAGAAACTAAGGGAGAAATAACTTTGATGCTTAAAGAGACCCTGGATCACACAGGAACAGCATATAGAATGGTTCCTCGTTAAAAGCCTGGACGGAATTCATATGACGTAAAACAAGAAAACCATAGTCAAGAAAAGCCGAATTGAATCAAAGAAAACCAACACACAAGCTGAATACACAGAAAGAAACAAACTAGTGTACGAATGAATTATTCAACTTAACGCTGTACTTTATGGTGCTTCTCCTTTTTTCACCCGTACCATCATTTTAGTTTGAACCTTCAGATTGAAGGTCCAAATGTAAGCAGTAAGCCGTGAGTAATAGCAAAAGTCCCTAAAACAAACAAGAGACGTGCTTTAAAATCAACTTTACGAAACAAAGTCTCTTAGCTCACACAGTAACAACCAAAGTTTTAGGGTCAATGTTGGCGTCTGGGGTATCAAACTCCCACTGTTCTCCTATTCTGCAGAGCTTATGAATCCTGATGCCCAAATTAGTTGAGACGCATAGTTTGATACTCCATAGATAATATTCAGACATCGTCAGTCGTCAAAATCTTTTAACGCGGAATAAAGTGGGAGAAGAAAGGCTTTTTATTGTAAAAAAAGTCGTGTCTCCATCCCTTTTTAGTATTAGTATCTAACATTTACTCTTTATTTCGTGGTATTCCAAGGTGGATATTGACCAACCTGGGTTGCTTCAGAAATCTGTCTTTTATATTCGGTCATCCAGATTCAAGGGTAAAATTCAGTTATCCGTAAATTTTTTTATGTTACAGGCAAGGTGGAATTTGCCTAAATTCCCTCGTTTCACTTTTCGAGAAAGGTATAACAGATGGCTGATCTCAGTGGCTGTCGTTCCGAACTAATTTTACGGGGCAGTGGAGTAAACTTGTCCAATATGTGCCTTCGACTGATTTTGTGGATTCTGAGGAATAGATTGTAAAAATATGCTGGTTTGCTTTGCAGTTAGCTCCATGAAACTTGTTTGAGGCACTCTGCTAAAATACATCTCTTCTGTTGTAAGTCTTTCTCGCTGGATTATATTTATTTCAAATTATCTCAGGCATATCAAGTGTTTTGTAGAATTACGGTCTGCTTCGTTATTAGTGCTGCTCTGATAATAAACATGATCTTAAATTTGTACATATGTCATGATGTGACTGCCTAATCTTTGAGATCTTGCGTGGACGTCACATCATTGTCTTCGCTGACCAATCGTAAGGTAACAATTGGGATGTCTGAATTTTCTAAAGATGTTCAAAGTGGAAATGGAGCAATATATTTAATATCAATAAAGGAGCTAAATTATGGAAGAACGACCACACCTGTAAGGACGAGCCATACCACTTAGCGTATTGAGTTTCAAATCCATATTACCGCGTCCATCATTATTGATCTTCTCTTAGTGTTGCATTTTGAAAGTCTACTTTTCCCAGCCGTCTCATGTTAAGTTTTGGGGATTGTGGTTAGGATTCAATACCACTACAGTTTTGCAGTTATCGGCAGCTAGTGTCTTTACTGAGATTGTTACAGGTCACCAAGGTGTCCTGGTAATTAAACCTGAATGACTATTGAGACGAATTTCAGCTTGGGAGAGACAGAAAGCTGGTGGCTCTTGTTATCTCCAGGGGCGAGGATCTCTTACTTCAGTCTATATTAACAGGGATTGTAGTTCGTTTAACCTGTTCTAATCTTTGGAACTTGTTTCCCAGTAGAAGTACAGCTTCTCGAAAGCATTTGCTAATGGGTCTGATACCACTCCTAGGGAAGAGTGTTCCGGCCTTCGATCACACGATAAGTATGAGTTTATTAAGATGCCGTTTTGATCCTTCCTGAAGCTCACAGGGATGATTAGTTCTAGGGGGAGTGAAAAAACAAGACACGTTATCACATAAATAATTGTTTACCATACGTAACGCAGACATAAGGTAACTTTCAGCCCGACAATAAGATGGAAGGAAGAGGTTTTATGGTTTTAGTCACTCATTATGGTAGATCTCGGAAGGACTAACACTAAATTGGTTCCCACACACTAAACACACTTTGATATGTTCATGTCCTTAATAAGACATGAACTAGCCGATTGGACGAGGTTTTCTAGGCAAAATCTAATACAGATGAGCAATAATGTTTGAAACATATCTTTGTCACAACATTTGAATCCTCGATCAAGTGACCGCGACACTTAAAAACATTGGCCAATAACTTATTTCCATTCTCACTGACGTCCAAGTTACGCCTCACTATTACTCCCGGGTCTAATAGTTATTATATGTGTGGGAGTGTTGTGCCTTCTATTACATGATGGTGATCATCATCGTGTTCGGCGAGCATTAACGCACACGTTCTAGATTAAGTCTCCAGAACCCAACATAGGGACCATCTAACTAAATCTTGTCAACCAGCTCGTGAGTCAAGATAGTCAGCCTTATTACATGCTGTCACTCAGACATAACTAGTCATAGTATCTCTTCGGATC